TTGAAAGTCCTTTCCTAAACCTATATCTGGCAGGTGTTTCCCAATGTTTTCTTCTAAGAGTTTCAGAGTTTCAGGCTTTACATTGAGGTCTTTGAGACATTTGGAATTGACTTTTGTGCAGGGTGAAAGATAGGGGTTTAGTTTCATTCTTCTACAAATGGAGATCCAGTTTTGCCAGCACCATTTCCTGAACATGCTGTCTTTCCTCCAATTAATGTTCTTCTTTAAAAAAGAATTATTTCCAAATTAATGATTTCTTATCATATGGGCTGTTAACTGACTAGGAAATCTGAATTTTAAATTATGTTTCTCATTGTTTGAACATTCCTATAGGCTGTAGTTCTTTGTAAGCACTACTATATTTAGTATGTTATTCTTTAAACAGAAATTTCAGCTATTCAAATAATAGTGTAAAGATTCTTACCAGTATGTTTAAAATAACCACAGACATGAAATTTCTGAGACTTCCTGAGAATACTGATTTATGTCCCTGAATCTCAAGGAGCAACACGTCAGAAATTTGAAAATGCTAAGAAAGTTGCTTCTTTTCACTGTTGGGTATAATTCATTTTTTCTTTTTTGGGGGGGGCTATAATTCTAAATATACCACTGTTGCTGAATAAACAAACTTGTTTTAAAATAAAATTTAAAAATATTTTATTTACTATTTTTATTTTATGTGTATGCATGTATTGCCTGCATGTATGTAAGTGCACCTGTGTCATGCAATGCCATGGAGGTCAGAAGAGGGCTTCGGATTCCCCTGGAACTGGAGTTAAGGATGGTTCATAGCTGCCATGTGGGTGCTGGGAATCGAACCCGGGTCCTCTGCAAGAGCAGTCAGTGCTCTTAACCGCTGAGCCATCTCTCCAGCCCCTTTATTTACTTATTTTGTGAGCATGTCTATATGCTTATGTGTGGGCTTGTGCATGTTACATATGTGGCAGTCAGGGGAAAACATGCAGGAGTCAGTCTTTCCACCATGTGAGTTGTAGGGATCAAACTCAATCTGACAGACTTGGTAGCTGGTGCTTTGCCCTCTGAACCAACCCCAGTTTTCCATGTCTCATACCATTCTAATCATTTCATTTATTTGGGAAGAAGACAAGGGATACCAAAAAGAAAAGTATGTGTTTGAATTTTGCAAAGGGCAATGGGCCGTTTACTAAAACATTTCTAGAAATCAGCCTGGCGCACCTGTGCGTGCAGCACTAAGGCACGTGAGGTGCTGAAACATGAAGCAGCAATAGCTTGTTTCTGCACACCACTTTTTGGCCAAAGCCTCACGCATGCTACCCAGAAGTCTCAGCTCATTCATTTGCACAGTAGCAATGATAATCTCTAAGTACATTGCTGAGTACTCAAGACAAAAACAAAACTCTCTATAAAATCCCTTGTATAAAGTTATAATCACAGACCAAATAAGCTAATATAAGTGTTAGATATTTGTCTATATGTATAACTATTTCATCTACTCATTCAGCAAACATTTACCCAGTGCCTGCTAAGTACTGGGGACATTTAGCAACCAATGAATAGAGATTGGGCTTAGTCACCGGATTCAAGATAAGTAGTCTTCTATATTACAACAATTAGCAATATTATAAAGTACTTCAAAAGCTGTATTTTATTAAAGCTAAATCATCCTCCAATAAAGTCCTCCAATGAAGTGAAGAACATAGCATATAATAATAAAAGTTGTCTTAGAAACACAATTTTGAACTAATTTTAAATTTCGAAAAATGTTAGAAAAATTTCAAAGTTACAGAAAGAATTTTCATTTATCTCTTAGACCTCCAAACATTAACATATCAACAATATTAAGTAAACTGTAAACCTTATCATCCAATTTGAATCAATTTCCACTGCCTTCTTGTGTCAGAATCTCGATCTCATATAGAATCTCACGCTGCAGTCAATAGTTTTCTTTAGTTTCCTGGGATCCCTTTCAGTTCCTCATTCTTTCTGTAGCTTTCTGATCTAGAGTCACCACTTTTGGCCAACACCTTATGCACATTGTAAAGAGTATTGTGAAGAGTACTTATCAGTTATTTTGTCAAATGCCTTTCAATTTACATGTTATAATTTGTTTGCATTTTTCCTGAAAACATAAATGCTTATCTAAAAAATCAAGAGGACAACTGGTCATCATAAGCACAGCTACTACAAGCATTAATCCATCAACACTCCACAAAACAAGATTCCATTTCATGGTTCTACACACAGTGGCCCTGATCTCAGACACTAATATCTTAATCTCTAGAATCTGGGAATGTTTCCTTACTTAACAAAAAGAACAGTTTAAAGAACAGTCTAGCTGTGACTCAAAGTTTCTGAGATGGGGTTGTCATGGATCCAAATGGACTCAGCATCATCATAAGGACCCTCACAAAGGCAAAGGGAGAATGGGTGATGTTACAATGGAAGCAGAAGTCCTTGATTTAATTACTGATGAAAGAGAAAATAAACACAGGCAGTCTCTGGAAGAGGGCAATGGGGACACAGGAAAATAATTCTCCTCTAGATCTTCAAAAAAGAATTCAGGCCTGCTGAAATCTTGATTTTAACCTGGTGAGACCTGCATCAGACTTGCAATCTGCAGAACTGTAAGTCCGTAAGTTTGTTTCAAGCCCTTTACTTGTGGTAGCCTGTGTAGTGACAACTGGAGCTAACACATGTGATCTTCAAATTGTGGAAAACATGCTTGTCTTTCCCTCCCTTCCCCTCTGATAGACACACAGACCCTCCCCCAATCACTCAACAACCTTAGAGATGCAATATGCTTTCCAGCACATGAAAAGTCTGAGAAGTCTTATGAACAAGAAATGAAGTGCACTATTTAATGTGACCACCAGCAATACGTGGTCACAGGAGGGAAGGTAGCATGAAACATCAGCTAGCATTGCCAAAGGCCTGTTACGGGAAAAGTGCAATCTTTATTTTGCATAATCTACATCATATTGTTTTACTTCAGAGTAAAATCCAGATATTCAACCAAATAAGGAAACTTCAGACAAGAGAATTAATAAAATTCTGAAAAAGCTAAGACCAAAGATTCATTTCACTCTTAAGAGTAAAATAATATTGGGGGCTGGAGAGATGGCTCAGCGGTTAAGAGCACTGACTCTTCTTTCAAAGGACCTGGGTTCTATTCCCAGGACCCACATAGCAGCTACGATCCGTCCTTAACTCTAGTTTCAGGGGAATCCGAAGCCCTCTTTGGACCTCCGCAGCACTGCACGACACAGGTGTACTCACATACATGCAGGCGATACACTCATACACATAAAATAAAAATAATAAATAAAATATAACAAAAGGGTAAAATAACACACCACATACTTATCTTCCCACATGTCTTCCATTCACTCAACCACTCACCTAACAAATACTTATCAAGTGGTTACGATGAGCAAGGTATCATGCTATATAGCAGTTATGTTCACAAAAGTCAGAACTGAGACACACTTGTTAGGCACAGGTGCTTAGTACCGAGAATAAAGAGAAACATTTTCATCAAAAGAAAAAAAAAAACACTGAAAAGTAGAATTGCAATGCTTAAGTTATATAGAAGACATAATAGTGTGAATGTGAAATCTGATTTCACTTTAAGTGACTAAGAAAGACTTTCCTGAATAGTGAAATATTTTTAAAGTGCAAGAAGGCTGTAAGTGGTGTTCAGAGAACAGCACACAGAAAGGCTCTCTGTACTGCCATTTGTCCAGCCTCTTCAGTCTTTTGGACCTCTTACTATTGATTTTCGTACATTGTTTATCTAGATCTAAATGAGGATTCCCTATTTTACCTCTACCTCCCTGAGCTCCACTAATCTAGTTTACTTAATGTAGCCTAACTTGATAAGGCTCTGAGTCATGTAACAGTCATGGCAGTTCACTGTTGGATGGTGACACAGTAGGCATCTTACACATTCTGGAGGTCTCCTTCACCTTTATTCTAGGCTCTGTTTCTCTCCTGGATTTAATTTCCTTATGCCTTCTTCTTTTTCAGAATACTCAATCCAGGCAAGAGTATCTTCTGGTAACTTCTAAAGAAAGCTTATTTATAAGGCAAATGTTTGATACTTTTAGTGTCTAAAAATATTCCAATTTACTTTCACATTTATTAATAGGTAAGAAGGAAAATACCATTTTGATACATAATCGTTTGTGGAAGGATCATAAAATTTAAAGAAATTTCATGTAGGCATAACACTCACACACATTAAATAATTTTTTTAAGTTTAAGAAAAAAGGAAAAAAAAGAGTTAATGACTTTCCGATTACATAATCAAGGGTCGACTAGGGGGCAGGCAGTATGTGGGGAAACTTCTTATATCCCAACTGCAACAAGATTCAGAAGTATTTGGAAATATATCTGATAAAGTACCACAGCTATCTGGAAAAGTTTTATTTAGAAAATAAAAGACTCAACTGAACAGATAGGCAGTGTTCACTGATATCACTGCTATACTATAACTCACTCAATTTAGACTTAAATCTACTAAAATCTCAACAAAGATCACCTACAAACTGATCCTAGAATTCACAAAGAAGAGACAACAAATTAAAAAACAGTCAAAAAGTTGTAAAGGAGTAAGAAAAGAAGTCCAAACAGACTTGACCATAATTAGAATGGCACGGCATGCAGAGAGGCAGAGACAAGAATGACTACAATAAGCAAGAACCCCCAACACACATGCACATAGAAACACGCATGTAGCAACAACAAGTCAGAGGTAGGAGGCACATCTACTAAATGGCGATGATACAACCAGTATCCTTGGGCAAAATATGATTGCATCCCCATATCAAATAAAACAAATTCCAAATGGCAGCAACACTCTCCCCTCAAAAATGTGAAAGCAAAACCTTGAAATGAAAACACAGAAACAAAAATAGCAAGATATGAACATGAATCTGAGAAAAATCATGTGTACTAAACCATTTTACAGCTTATATGTACTTGAATTAGGATATTCATGAACTGTCTATAATCATTACCCTGTATCCCATGTCTTCCACAACATCACATGAAGCTGCATTATCTCGGGTATGCCACACTGTCTCTTTGATACTGCAACCATACATGAATACATTCTTCTTTCGAGAATGGCCATGATAATCACAATAAACCTGGAAAAGATGATACATTTAAGTAAGCAATAACTGAAACTCTGGAATCTATATAGAGAACATTTCAAGAGAGATAGCCTGCTGGTTTTGACTGGATAGTCATGTAAACCTTTAAAGAGATCAGAGATATAGCTAGCCCTTATTTCTAACTTTTAAATTTACATTGTTTCATCCCATGTATAAAAATCATCTTTCCCTACACAATGTAGCTGCCATTTGGAATTTATTTTTTAGGGTTTTTTTTTTTGCACTGAAGGTTATAAAAAGACTGTTTTATCATGATTTTTGCTTCAGTGACTTTATGACAAATTAAAAGTTCTAAACTCTGGCACCTCCACCCCACATTAAAACCTTCAGATTCATAGACTGCCAAGTAAGGGTGGTTAAATCAAGCCAATGAACAGCCCTATTTACTAAGTAATAAAATCTAGCTTTGGAAAGAATCTATAATTAATGCTCAAATTGAGGAATCCTCTGAAGGTCATACATCAAGCCACAAGCTCCATATTTCTTTCTTATCTCCTACTCCCCATTTAAAATATACTAAATTCAATTGGATCAGTTCTACAGTTATAGTCCCTACAGCCTCAAAGAGGTGTTAAAGCATGTACCTAATTTAAAACAATATGAAATGTTTTCTTTCATGAGAAAAAAAATCACAAAGCTTCTAAAATAAAATTTTAGGAGTATCATTTTTAAAAACTGAAAAATTAAAGATCCACATGTCAACAGTACTCCTCCATAAAGTCTTTCATTCTTTCCTAATGGAAGAGTAAATAATTCAGACACCAAAAAAAGCCAGGAACATTCTAATTAAAAGCCAGTGAGAACAGAGTGCGCGTATGAAGCCCAAGACAGTCTCACAGCTAACTGTCAGAAATATGCTATGGCATAAAATCTGGAGGATATATATTGTTATCTTTGTGCTGGGCATACAATGAGGTTAAACATCTAAAACATATAACTAGTAGCTATCCATATTCATCAACAAAAAAAACAACTTATAAGAATTATGAACAATAAACAAAAACATAAGCATACTGTATTAATTTAATACCACAATCATTATACAAGAAAACAGTAAAGATTTTGAAATTAACACTTGGTTTTTATAGTGAGAAAATAACACACAAACAGAATACTAAGTCATGGAATTTTGGGTACAATGGTGGACTAGAGGCTGCTGAAGCATGAGCCTGTGAAAGAGAAAATCCAAACTTAAAAAAAACTGGGCCGGGCACGGAGGCTCACGCCTGTAGTCCCAACACTTGGGAGGCAGAGGCAGGCGGATCTCTGTGAGTTCAAGGCCTGCCTGATCTACACAGTGATTTCTAGGCCAGCTGGGGCTACAGGGAGACCCTGCCTCAAAAAGAAACAAAAACAAAAAAAACCTGACTATATTCCAAAGAGAACTAAAGACCTTCAGAAATATACAAAGGAAATGAAAGGATGCTAGGAAAGAGCAGAAAAAGCAGCACAAAAGTAACTGAACACACAGTATGGGGCACAGTTCCCTGGGGGCAGTTTCCGGGGGCCACAGTTCCCTGGGGGCACAGCTGCCTGGCAGGTAAAAAAAATGGACTCCATATCAAAGCCTTGGAGTCCTCAGCCCTCATAAGCCTCAAATGAAGCTACAGGTTTTGATGAAATAGTGATGCCTCCAGGGAACAGAATGGGTCAGTGGTGGCTAGAAATCCCATTTTGTCACAATATATGACTCAGAGGGCAGCAGCCAACAGCCATCTGGAGACAGAATTTATTTTTCAAAATGGAACTATCCTAGGGGCCTTAAACCAAGGAACAATCACAGAAAAGGAGTGGAGAGCAGCAGGGCAGGATACTGACTAGCTGAAGAAGACAGGTAGCAGGAAGCTGGGAACAGGCCAGGAGGTGCAAAAGGAGAGATGGCTCTGCCCTGATGGCCAAAAACAGAGCTCATCAATTGAGAATATCCTGCAGTGTGATAGCTCAGCTCAAGCCTAGCAGGTATAGACACCTACCTGTTCTTCATTGCTGTAGAGTCCAAGTTGCAGAGGTATACTCCATACGTATGGATGATTCCCCCAGTAGTGTGATTAATACTAAGTCAGGTCACTTCACAGGTACTGATCTCAGTGCTGTGGCTGCTTCCTATACTCCCATTGCACTTTAGGGACATTCCTAAGCTTTGGCCATTCAAGAAAGTGATGTGGGGAGTCAGGTGGGTGAGAGCCTTCCCAGCCCACAGAATGCAAAGCAAAATGTTGCTAGCAGAGGTCCTAGGTTCACAAAGATGGAAAACTACCAGAGTGAAGACAACTCTGGAGGACACCAGACTAGTACAGACTCAGCAATAGCATAAACAACAGGAAAGACAAGAGGCCACAAGTTCAACGATTCTCCTCCTTCCATGCCATCTGCAGTTGTCAAGGACCCAGAGGGATGCTGCTCTAACACCTTGTCTTTTTTATTCTTTTAAGATTCTCTTGAAAATTCCTCTGGTAAATCCTACTCCTCTATCAATGTGCTGAACAGGCTTTATACATCACTGAATTTTTATTAGTTATTCCCCTTCATACAGTCATCTAATTTTTTTCTAATTGGGCAATATTTTTCTTTTCCTTAGGTTCTTTCTTGCCTCCTGTGCCTCCTCCTTACCATTTCTATATTTAGTAGTATCATTCTGGCTTTAACTTTTTTTTTAATACTCATGTACTCTTTTGTTCCCTTTTACACTCACCTAATTGTTTAGTTTTCTCATTACTGAGAACCTTCCCCCAATCCCTTGCTATGTTTTTCTTTCCCTCCATGAAACTCCTCTTCATTCCTTTCTGTTGTCTCACCTCTGACCTTGCTTCTCCCCAATTTTTCCACCTTATCTATCCCCTTCCATTATCCCATTCATTTACTGTTTCTCACTTATCTGAATTTTTAACTTCATAGAACATACTACAGGAGTACCACCATTTTCAGCCTTATAATCACTGGTGGCATTAGTGGGCTTTAATTGATTTGAAATACATTATAACCTATATAGTTCTATATCCTGTATTATATCCTGATACAACAGTTTGTTTCCTCTTTGCTAAGTGATACTGGGGTTGAGACTTCAAGAGTAAGCTGCTCAGTAAGATCCCCTCAAAAAGCCAAAGACAGGCTGGGCATGGTGGTGCACACCTTTGATCCCAGCACTTAGTAGGCAGAGACAGGGGGATGTCTGTGAGTTTGAGGCCAGCTGGTCTACATACTGAGTTCTAGGCCAGGTGGGGCTCCAGGGAGACCCTGTCTCAAAAAAAAGACCAAAAATAAAAAATAATAATAATGTGAAAAAAAAAGCCAAAGACACATCCAAACACAAACACAAGAAAACACGGCTACAAGGCAACATGACTCCTTGAAGAGATCACAGCTCCTCTACTCTTAAACCCAAAGATTCTGAAATAAGCAGAAGGCCAGGGGAAGATTTTAAGACTTTGGTGAAAGTGAACAGACATAAAAGAGGATACAAACAAGCCAATACATTCAATCCAGGACCTAGAGAGGAAAGTCAGCAACCCAGAGGAAAGTCAGCAATGTGAAAAAGTCAGCAATGTGGAAAAGAAATTCAGAAAAAAAAAGGAGAGAGAGAGAAAGATTTAGGGGAAAAATTACAAATGTTAGAAATGAAAAATTCAATGACTCAAATGAAAGCACAGGGCAAAGCATCACCAACAGACCTGACCATGAAGAAGAAACAATATCAGGAATAGAGGATATGGTTGCTGAAATACTATGCTCAAACATCAGGTAAAGACAAAATAAATAAATAAAATAAATAAATAGATGATTAGATAGATGATAGATAGATAGATAGATAGATAGATAGATAGTAGATAGATAGATGATGATAGATAGGTAGATAGATAGATAGATAGATAGATAGATAGCTTCTAAAAACTCTGGGACATGGCCTAGTGACATGAATGAATGAATGAATGAATGAATGGGACGTTAACTTCTAAAAACTCTTGGACATGGCCTAGTGACTGAACAAAAATCCAGGGGATAGAAGGAGCTGAGAAAAACAATAAAGGAATAAAAAACTCTAGTCAATGAAATCGCAGCAGAAATTTCCCAAAACATGAGCAATCCCTAAAGTCAAAAAAACATAAAATGATGCATTTCAAACCTGAAAGTAACTGCCAACCAAGATGTTCTACTGAGAAAGCTGTCTTTTAAAAAATGACAAATAAAAAATGAAGTTTCAAAGTAAGCACAAACTAAGGCAGTTCATGACCAATATAAGACAACGCAGAAGACATATAAAAGAATACTGTATGTATTATATTTCTGTTTCTGTGATAAACACTGGCCAAAACCAACTTGAGGAGGAAAGGGTTTATTTCATCTTAAAATTTCATCTTAAAACCCAAGTCTCAATCCACCACTAAGGGAGGAACTGGTTATACTAAGCGACACACAAAGTCCGTCAGTGTGGCCCAATGTCTGGCTTCTGGACTCACTTGCGATCATCTGGGCTTCAAAGGGCTTGGGAGTCCCTCTTCTCTAGCTCTTCCATTCCCAACACACACAGCTCTTCTAGTAGGCTGAGGGCAGCTCATTCCACACCTGTCACAATCCTTGGTGGTTATCCCACAGCCCTTGCATTTCCCATACTGTAGCACCTCCACTGCAACTGAAGCTGCATATTCACCAATGGCGTACCCTGGACTCTTCATGGATTCAAACTCTAGTGCCAGGCCTTAATTTTGTTTCATGACCCCTTCAATCCTGGGGCTTCCACTGCAACTGAGGATGCACTTTCACAAATGATCTCATGGCCTTTAAGCAGGGACTCCAACCATGCCAGATGGTGCCAAGCCTCAGCTGTTGTCCATAACCCCTTCATACCTTCAAAATAAGTACCATGTGGAAGATTCTTACATATTACTAAGTTCAGCTACCAACCTGAGATTCAACTTTATACACAACCCACCCCAACCCACAGCTTCTGTGTGCTTGTCCTGAGGAAATAATCCCCAGAAGACTTCACCTCACTGATGCTGGTTTCCTATTAATAACAGCCGATTTTTCAGTCAGACTTAGCCAGCATCCACTGTCCTACTAAAGCATAAAAGATTTCACTTCCAAAAAAAAAAAAAATTTCACTTCCACAGATTCCAAAATATATCAAACAAAGTCTTTGCTTCCCTCCAAAACTTCAGAAACCAGGCCTCCAACTTCTGCACTGTTTTCAGCATTATCACGGATGTTGCCCCAACAACCATGAAGCTCTGAAAACTCAATGGATTTTCAAGACCAAAGCTCCAAAAACTTCCACACTATTTAGAGAGGAAGAAGAAAGACAGTCTCCATTCTGAGATCACAAGAAAGAATAAATTTCATGACAGGAATAGATGAACAAACAAGAGGTAGGAAGGAACTTGCTTCCAACACAGTAATCCAGCAACCTCCAGACACCAGCAGGGAGAAAGTGAAGAAAAAACAATAATCATACCAACCAGAAAAAAGAAAACAAAATTAGTTCAATGAATAAATATCTGTCAGTAATAGCCTTAAATCTAAACAGTTCAATCCACAATAAAGAGATGCAGACCAGTTGACAGAACTAAAAGAGAGGCTGAAATTAGAAATGAAAAGTGGGACATTACTACAGATTCCAGTGAAATACAAAGACTCATCAGGGGTACTTTTTTTTCAGTCTTTTTGAGACAGGGTCTTCCTGTAGCCCCAGCTGTCCTGGAACTCACTATGTAGACCAGGCTGCCCTTGAACTCACAGAGATCCGCCTGCCTCTGCCTCCCGAGTGCTGAGATTAAAGGCGTGCGCCACCACGCCCGGCTTGTCAGGAGTACTTTTAAAACTTACTTTCCAAAAACTAGTACATCTAGAAGTGGAAAAATTCCTATGTACATATAACCTACAAAAATTAAATGAAGATGTAAATAACTTAAACAGACTCATAAAAATAAACAAGACTGGAGCACTAATTTAAAAACTCCCAACAAAGAAAAACCCAGGACTAGATGGATTCATGACCAAATTCTACAAAACTTTTAAAGAAGAACTAACAGTAATCCTCCTTAAACTGTTCCATACAATAGAAAGGCAGGAATAGAACTAAACTCATTGTACAAAGCCAGCATTACCATCATAAATACACTGACACTAATTAATAAATACATTTGAATATGCAGATTAAAACAAATATCGCCACTTACTAGAGGTAAACGCTTCACTGCAGCCAGGTATTGTAGTAGCCCCTTTGCATGGTAAATTGTAGGATGCAAATCTGGGTTTGGACTTTGCCACTGTCTGTTCAAATCCTCTCCACTTAAAGAACAGCGATGACTACACATAAATAAAGATAGAGAAATACAAGTACCAACAAACCATTATAAACATTTCTGATTTGACTTTCTGACTTACTCCAGTAAGTAGTGTAGATAGGGGACTCAGCTGAACATACATTCTATGCATCAAGTAAGCATGTATTATCATTTGCTATGGGTAAGTCTTTAATCACATGTGGTATCAATGATGATTTCAAATTTATAACAATTTTAATTAAAAAATTCTTAATTCTGGGGTTTTCTTCTGGATTTTAAAGAATTTATTAATGGACACATTCTCTACTGACTAAATAAAAAACATTTGTTACAGTGACTTTCTGTATGTTGACTGAATTAGTAATTTTGTATAAATACTATTTGAGCCCTCCTTCTGAAAAGGTAAATATATGAAAATCATACATTCTTGTAAAAATGTAAATATATTTTTATTTGCGCACAGGTGCTAAGTACTACCATCAAGCAAAACACAAAGATCCCATCATTAACACTGAGAACAAGAACTATTCGTAAACATCTTTCTCATATCCTGACATGATTTTTCTAAAACAATTCAAGAAAAATTTTGTGAACTCATATCCTCATGAATACAACATACATGTTCTTTTCAAAGTTTATCTTTAATGAATTCCCCATCAAAATTTATTTTCTTCCAGGGGAAAATAACCCCACCAAATGTGTTTTCTGAGTTAAATTTGACACTGTTAGTTCAAAAAATTTATATACAATTACCACAATAATCTATGACATTCCTACAACTATTTCTTAACTTACTTTCCATTGATGACACCATCTGGGTTTAGCATAGGGACAATTTTAAAAATGTAAGATTCTCGTAAGCTCTGAGCAGTAGGGTTATTACTCATGAGATACTCCAATGTTCCTTTCATTACCCAACTTGCATTAGTTTCTCCAGGATGCACCCGAGCAGATAAGAAAATGTAAGGGCGATTTCCTAAAGCACACATAAAAATCTCAAATTAAAATTAACAGCTACTGAAAGTTTGAATGACATTTTCACTTTGGGGCTTTAGAACTCTACTCAATGTGAATTATGAAACTCACTATGTATATACTGTATATAAACACCGCACTAGGCCCTATGAAGAAACAAATAGCAAACCAATATAAGCAATGTTGTGAAGAAGCTTGCAATATGACCATACATAGTATCTGAGAAACTTTTTTTCTAATGATTAATGTAACTTGAAAAAATTAAAATAATTTTTATAAACTCATGGGGAGATGGAAAATATTATTTATCCGTTTTGCTACATAATAATCTAGCAGAAATCTAGAGAAAAAGTGTTATCTGCATAGATTTACCAAAAAAAAAATTTCACTATACATTTAGACATAAAAGCCTATAAAACAATCTGCAGTTCATTATTCATACATTCATGCAGAGCAATCTCTTTCTTTTCCTGGAAATATTTATCAAAATCTAAACTGTTTTCTTTCTTTCTTTTTTTTTTTTTTTACTACTGCAGCTGTAAAACTGAGGCAATTTAAAAACTGTAAGTGGCAGAGAGAAACGAGCTATTTAGTACTAGCTATCAAAGCATTTGAACTCTTAAAAACAACTGTTGTGCTTTAGCTTGAGTCTGCTTTCTAAGACTAACTAAAGAACACCAGTATCAAAAGGAACCTGAGAACATGTCTCGGAGGACTACTTCACTTTCCAAAGGAGGAAACTGAGACACTGAAGTGGGTTCATGGCTAGGAGGAATGGGGCCAAGACTGCAATCTAAGACTTCTGAGCTGAGTATTATTTCCACAATAAAATGTACGAAGCAAACAAAACTAAGTAAGAATGACTGATGTTCTAAATGAAGAAGACAGACTTACTGAACTGACAGATATGTTCATAATAATTAGACTCGGGCATTGCTGTTATAGTCACCAAGGGACAGCTGTTTCCAGACAAGGTTTCACATAACACATCTTTTCGAAAATAGATTTGCTGAGGATTGTGTGCTGATTCCAACTTTTGAAGATGCATCTTGACAAAAAATTAAAAGCAAAGTATATAAGAATTAAAAACTCCCTAATGCTACATAGAAATATTGCACACAGGTATTCACATAATTAGAAGACAATTTGATTCTCAAACTCTTATCCAAAAGCCTCAAGGTCAAATGTAGTTCACACACCAATATTTGAGGAACTTGCAAAAGGAACTTCCTAAGTGTGTATGCCATTAATTATGCACCACCACCAAGCAGGCTCTGGGGCAGCAGCCTGCAATAATCACATTCTTATTTCTGTAGCAAACATGGAGTTACCCTAAGTGCACTCAATATTCCTATTAGTTCAGGTAAGGTCTTGTTGTGAATTTGAGGTTTGGTTTTCAAAGACTTTAGAATTCTGGAATTAAAGACTATAGACATGTAACAACAATCTAAAATTACACAGCACAAATTCTGAACAAGTTCTCCTGATTTCAAAACTAAACCAGGCTCATGATAAACTATCTGAAAGGCATTAAAAGTAGAAAGAAGAATTTTAAGACACCACAACTACATCACTTTGATTACTATTAATAAATGTAATATATAAAAATAAAACTCATTACATGTGATTTTATAATATTTGTCATATAATTTGCACATATACACATATATTCATCACTGTGAATGCTGCAATATAGAAGATGCTAATTATGCTATTGTACACACAAGTTTCAATGATTTAAATATGTGATTATACCAAAAATACAAGTGGACTTGGTTTTTAGTTCATCACTTCTATGTACTCACAATCACTACAACCCACTGCATCTGTGAGCTCACGGTCACCAGTCATCACTTCCGTGCGCTCACAATCACTACAACTCACTGCGCATCTGTGCACTCATGGTCACAAGTCATCGCTTCTATGCATTCAGGATCACTACAATTCACTGCACCTATGTACTCAAAACCACTGCAAGTCGTCACTTCTGTATACTCACACAATCATGTTTGCCAAGAACTGTGGGGGGGACTAGGGGTGGGAGGGAAAATGTGTGGTTCCTATCTCGGGATAATGTAGAGAGCTCTAGAAGGGAGTCTGGCAATTCTGAGTGTGAAAAGTCTTCTAAAGAAGGTAACATTTAAACTTAAACTCAAAGGTTGAATGAAGGAAGAGAGACAGAAAAAAAAAGGAAGGGAAAAAAAGGCCAAAGGGTAAGACAGAAATTCACTTAAAAAGATTGACTTTAGCTAGTCTAGAAAGTACAAAGATTACAAATGGAGAGTCTGACGCAAAATGAAGGGTCTGGAAGACTTTCAGAAAGCATGGGATATGACCACAGGCAACTCGGGCAACTTATGTGACACAGGTAGCATCTTTTTCAAAAGTTTAATTGGTATTATGTTTTACTGTGACTTAGAAATAGTACCAAAAAGACTGTAATTCCACAGATACCAAGTTAGGAGAGAACAAAATGTTACACAGTGAATTATTTTAAGGTTCATTTAAAATAAACACTAAATAATAGTCCAAGCCATAAAGATGCAGCCCCCAAAAGGTGAAAAATAAATGAATCATGGTGAGAATTTTAGATTTCATTCAAATGGCCGGAGAAATCACTCGTTTTCATTGGTTTTTATGAAGGGACTGGTCATGAAAGAGCTCTGTCCATAGCTCTGAAAAGGAGGAAGTGTGGGGGAGAAAAATCTAAATCCCAGTGCTGCTTTAGAAGTTGGCAGAAGTGCAGGTGAGGAGCAACAGCACAGGGGGACTGGAACAAAACAACCCAAAGTAAAAGATTAATAAAGAATAATATATAACTAGACAAGTAAAAATGACTTCAAGGTCTATTTCAAATATTTGTATTTATTATTTTCCTAGGATGAAGAACCTCAAATAAGTACTAAATCACAATGTAGGTATGAAGGTGTGGTTTCTCAGCCCCAAAAGATTCCTGAACATTGCCTCTCTAGGACAACACAGTGAGGCTCATTCAGAGTCATCAGCCTGCTATCTTTTCTGCTCTGCAGATGAGGTTTTCTCCAAACGCACTAGAGAATGGTCCCTGGTCACACTGCTCTCATGTCTTTCTTGGTAAGATGATCATCCCTTCAATATCCTTGGCCATTAGGTTATTCTGTTGTCAGAACAAATCTACCACAGTTGGTCATTTAGTTACTGATTTAGTTTGTTCAGTTTTGTTGTACAATGCAAATATTCCAAACTCGAAGGCTCTCACATGATAACTCTCATATTCCACATTCTAAGGATTCCAAAATCAAACAGTTCCTACAGAAAAATTCAAAATAAAGCCATATTTTCCTACTGTCATATTTTTCTACAAGATTTAATGCTTTTTGGTTAAAAAATGAAATTTCATCTAGTTAAAATCTGTACATCACAGAAATCTTAGCTAAGAGAACTATCAATAAGTAAAATGCCACATAAAATTTCTCTCATTTCTTTTTATTTTCACTTGTGGAGGTGTCTTAGTAAAGGCATATGTATTCAGGTGTGGGCATACAAGCATGTGTATTAAGATGTGCTTATCCCTGTGGGTCCATGTGAAGGCCCAAGATTGCCAGGGAGATGTCAATCCTCAACTGCTTATCTTTGTTCATTTATTCATTCACTCATTCATTCATTCATTCATTCATTCATTCATTCATTGTTGGGACAAGGATTCTCTGTATAAGAGCAGTGTCATTAAAGCATTCACTCATTCATTCATTCATTCATTCATTCATTCATTCATTCATTCATTCGAGACAGGGTCTCACAATGAACCTGAGCCTTGCTGTTTGGGCTAGACTGGTTGACCAGCAAGCCTCTAGGATCTGCCAGTCTCCACCCCCAACGTTTAAGTTACAGGAACTCAGAGAAGCTGAACCTGTCTAATATGGGTTCTCAGGATCCAAATTCAGATCCTCAAGCCTGTGCAGCAAATACTTTATCCATGGATCCATCTCCACAGCCTCTTTCATATTTCTTTCAGTAACAACCATATTCATATTTCTCTACCTTCAGTGTTTCCAAAAATACTACAGTAGTTCAGTACTGGATTTTTCCTATTTTATTAAAATTTAATTATAAGCAATTGTTCTCTATCTGATACATATACATACAAAATAATACTCATACTAGTTTATAATTTGGCGTTCTCACCTGCAAAGCAGAATATGTATATGGGTAGTGATAGGCAAAGTAGCAAACATCATCTTTATGTGGAAAGTTCACGGTAAATGTAATTGTATAGTACGATTTTCCTTTTTGCCCACCTGTAGCAACTGAACTTCTTGAGAAGTGATTTCTGCAATTGAAAAACATAAAACATGCTTATTCCTCCCCACACTTGTTCTGATTTTCCTTCGCTAATTTTAATAAGTAGAACTTCAGAGAGAGGAAAAAGAATGTTTAGCAAGTTTAACTCAACTGCTTCATACAAAATAGCACTAACAAAGCAAGTATTGTCAGCAAACAAAATTACTTTTCATCTCTAAGATTTATTAAATAAGGCTAATATTCTATGACTCAGTTTTTATCTTCAAACCTCATTCTTTAGTACCAATACACATTACTAGATCTAGAGAGTGGTAACAGTCTGATGAATGCTTTCATGGTAGCTGGGTCAGGCCACAATACTTGACGTTTCACTATAATCAATGTTAAAATTATAAAACCAAAAACAACTAGAGATAATGATTATCCCTAATGTGATATAAGAATCTGCTACATCACATATGAGGTATTCTTCTAAAAAAAACCCTGAATATCATTAAGCTTAGATTTTTAAATTTTTATTATATACAATTTTTGAGACAGTGTCTCACTATGCAACCCTGGCTGGCCTGGAACTTGCAATTGTAGACTAGGCTGGCGGTAAACTCACGGAGATCCACCTGTGCCTACCTCCCAAGTGCTCTAACTAACTGCATGTGCCACCACTCCCATACTTAAGTTTTTATATCTAACTACCAGTTTACAGAAAATCTGTGATATACAATTTGTTAATACCAAAGATGCAATTAGAAAAATACAAATGTGAAACTCCTGTATGACAATCAATCTGGTTCCTTTAACAAATCAGTAAGAAATAAAAAGAGAAAAGGAAAGCCCATAAACAAAAATAAATCCTTAAACTAAATGTGATGTATGACTAGCAAGGGAGATTGGCAGATCTCAGGTGACATAAGCCTGACTGTTTATTTGCTTTGGTTTTTTGAGACAGAGATTCCCTGTAGTAGCTGGCCTGGGACTTGCTATGTAGAGCAGGCTGGACTTGATCTCACAGAGATGCCTGCCTCTGCCTCCCAAGTGCTGGGATTAAAATCACACATCACACTAGTGACATAAGCCATTTTTAACATAAAAATTTGATAGCTGTGGCTTGTTTTTCTGATGACTACTCTTTTTTGTCTAATAGCTTTAGAAATAAATCACTTTCTAGTCTCTTTTATACTTTTAAAAAATATGTGGTTTTTCTTAAAATTTTAATTTCTGAATGTCTTATTTTTCTTAATTTTTCTGAGGTAAGATAATGGCACTGTGTTTAGATGGTCTTAAAGGGTCTTTATCGTCTAGAGATAAAATATGGTATCTGAAAATTGTTTCAAAAATTCAGCATGGGGGTCAGGGAGATTGCTTAGTGGGTAAAGGTACCTGCCACCAACCTGACCACCTCAGTTCAATTCCCAGACCCAAATGGTGGAAGCAGAAAACTGACTCCATCTGACAATCTGAGATGGCTCAGAGGTTAAGAGCATTGGTTGCTCTTGCAGAGGACCTGGGTTCAGTTCCCAGCACCCATATAGTAGGTTAATAACCATCCTTAACTCCAGTTCTAAGAGATCAGATGCCCTCTTCTGGCCTCCAAGAGTACAGGCAAAACACTTACACAACAAAAATAAATTTAAAAAAATTTTTAGGTTGGCGTCCCTATTCTCTATTGGCAATTTGGGTAACCCCGTCAGAGGACGGTGTGGTAAGAATAGGAGGCAGGAACTGGCTAGGCAGTTAGGGTAAAGAGACCCCAAAGAAATGTAGCCAGTTTCTTGGCTAAAAGTCAAAATGTCCTTGGGCCTGTTAGCAACATACTCTGTTCCAAAGGCCAAAAATGTCAAAAGTATTTGGGAGCTTGTATCTAATCCTTAAAAGATTTTAGGGTTACTTCTTCAGAGGGGCGAAGGTTGGAGGGGAGGGAGTGGGCATGGATTTGATCAAAATACCTTATATACATATATGAAATTCTCAATAAAGTTTTTGCAAAAATTTAAAAAATAATAAAAATATTTTAACAGTGGCAAAAACAAAACAAACATTTTTTTAAAGAATATTTTAAAAATCAGCATGGAGTCAGGCATAGTGGCACATGACTTTAATCCCAGCACTTAGGAGGTAGAGTCCAAACCAGCTGGGGGCTATAGGGAGACCTATGTCCAAAAAAAAAAAAGAAAAAAAAATGAGGCATAGGAGTAAGGAGTTCCGAAGTGCTGCAACAGTAACTGCTGGAACTGGGCAATGTGCATCCAGTATATCAGAGTATATATTTACCCCCATTACGATGTTCCAGGAGTTCTCTAATCAAAATTTTTAATAATTTTCAGTTTTGAAGACTTTAAATATTGCTGACATTGCACTTAAAAACCCTCTATCAACTGTTTCTAAAATTCCCAAAACTCTTTTAAAACAAAACAAAACAGAGCATATGGTGTCATTTATTCATACATACAAATATTCAAGCTAGTTTTCATGAACTTAGTCACTCTACTTTGAGGAGACACCCAAAGACAAGGTGCTAAGGACTAAGGAATGCAGAAAAAGGCCTCAAGAATTAGTCCTTGTCAACTGTTCTCTAAGTTGAACACCTAACTGAAGAGCGTGCCTGCCATCATAAAATACTGACACATGAGTTCCAGGTCATAAACCAGGAAAACATACTCATGTACTGGTAGAAGGCAATTTTGTTCCATTTTATAGGAAACACATGTAACAGAGAGCGTGCCTGACAAGAAAGGTTAGAAACTGTAATGTAGAAAGTCTTCAATGCTCACTATCTGAACTTCTGGCTTCTGGAAAGCAACTAGAACACTGCATAAAACTAAAAAAATAGTCAGTAGATGGGTGTGACATTGAACTGAATTTCAATTTGATCCCGAGGTAGACAAGAGAAAAAAGCAAAGATTCAACAACAAAAAATCTTGTCATCACTCCTCACAAAAAAAACAGAACAATCTGAAACTATGGTCACTCGTTTTGCAATTCACAAAGCACTCAACAGGCTGATAATTTCTATTACGCAAAGTAGAAAGACATGGATATTTCAATATTCAGTAGCCTAAGCAATTCCAAAACCTTGCCAAACACTGCCAGATCAGTCATAGTCCCATTCCAACATTATAAGAAAGAGAAAACAATCAAAGAGGACTTTGTTAACTTACCACTTAAAAAATGAGCATATTAATGTTACTTATTTTGCTAATAAAAGAAGAGGGAACCCTTACTGAGATAAAGCCCAAGGACTGCTTCTTTCCCAGAAGGTAACAGCATTTAAGACCTAAGTTTTCCCAAAACAGCTAAAATTCTACAAGTCATTATCTGCTGAAAAGGCTTAAAAAAGAGAGAGAGAGAGAAGAGCTATTAATGCTATTTAAGTACAATATTAAAAGTCAAAATCCACTTTGTAAAAAATAAAACAAAAATTTAAGATTGAGATTAATAAAAAAAGAAACTGGTGATGCTAAGGAGTCACATTTCAGGAGCTTTGGTAGCCAAACAGCAACTTTAAGCCTAGCATTCTAAAGGAAATAAATACTAAGACTGAAATTATAAACATATGCAATTGTGTGTTAGCCATGGGAAATGATCATGGGCTGTCAAAAAAGCTCAACACTTTCCGTATTGTTTAGGATTGGTATTCTAATTTGGAAGACCACAGGGAAACTGATGTCTTTAATATAGACTATTCAATGGACTTCAATTGAATGGGTTCCTTTAACCACTTTCTATTTCCATAAGCAGCTATAATATATCTCATAGTAAATGATATTTTTTAAGACTATGAAGGAAGTATATCAGTAAAAAGACAGGAAGGGCAGAAGAATCTATACCATGAAAGTTACTGTCTTTTCCTCCTAATTTGAAAGGTCATATGGAACAATAAGTCAGGTATTTAAACAATTTAAATTTTAAGAGTTTAATCTGAAAGTATGTATTAGTAAAGTATTTCCCAAAAGACAGTGAAACTGTAATTATAAATGCTTCTAATGAGGAAAAAGCGTGACTTATTTAAAAAACAACCTTTTCAGTTGTGAAACACTAAATCACACATTCTAGTTTTCCAAATAAAGGAAAACACATAAGCAAGAGCAAAGAATTCTCAAGTGTCATAGTCACAGCAGTCCATCTCAGGAATAAAGACAAGTAAGTTAAAAATAAGAATTAAGGAAAATTAAATTGGTAATAATTTGATTTCTGTTAATTCTATGAAGATGATAAAAGAGTTCGTGTTTCTTTTAAAAGGTGTGGATATAGGAAATAAAATAAGCAGTATTTTAAAATGTTGCCTGGACACATTTTACATGCAGAATTAAGAGCAAAATGGGAAGCACATGCTATAGGAATCCTAGATCATTTAGAAGTGGGGCTGTAGCAGCAAATAGGACATCTGCACCCCCCCACACACACACGGCATAGGGACCATTGAGGAAAAGGGGGCAGAAAGATTCTAAGAGCCAGAGGTCATGGAGGACCAAAGAGAAAAGGTGTTTCTGGACATGAGAGACTGCTCCACTCAGGAACTCACAGCAGCTGTGGGTGCCTGCACAAGATCAAGCCAGTCAAAGTTCTAGCATGGAGTGGGAAGGAGTTCGTGAGCCCCTACCACTAACTGAGGAGCTACGAACAGTTAGTGATTTCTGGAGGAAGGAGAGTCAGTTTTGTTTAAGGGTATGCACAGCTCCTGGTAGGTCAACCATTCTCCAGTGGAAGGGCCCACAACCCAGGAGTATATGAATGGCACAGACTGGAGTCGATGGGTTATTAAATTAAAAAAAAAAAAAAGACACAAAGCTGGAGGAGTACCTGGGGGGTAGAGAGTGAATATAATCAAAATACACTGCATGAAATTCTCAAAGATAAAAATATTTTTTAAAAAGAAGTAGAGCTGAAGAATGTATTTGGTATCATAAGAATAATTTCTATTTAATAATTTAATAATAATAATTTAATAATTTAATAATTTCTATTTCTAGTTTTACTGAATGAAGTTTTAAAGCTTTTTTTTTTCAAAAGCAAAGGTAAATCCTGAAATCTCAGCACTCAAGAGGCAGAAGCAGGAGGAACAAGTTTGAAGCCAACATGGGCTACACAGAAAAATCCTGTCTAGGAAATTTAAATTAAAAGGCTGGCGACATATAGCAAACTCGTTTGAGGTAAGATTTGGATCTAAATCTGTCTTTCTACAAAATGCTTTGTTTCCACTATGCATACTTCTTACATGTGGATTTCAAATACATAGGACTCTTAAGAATTAGTAAGCACAGCATCACAATTCAAAGGACATACTAATTCTAGTTTTAATTTGGACAATGAAACTAATCTTCCCTTTATAAGCTTTTGAAAGTAAGAATACTTACTTGTAATAACAAATGTCAGTGCCCATACGAATCCACCATGGTCTGGCATTTAATGCTTCCTGAACTGAATACATAAGTGGCTGCATACCTTGTAAAAAAGAGGAGAGGAGAAAACGAGAAATTTTTTTTTCAGAGTTTTTGATGTAAAAACTTAATCTTGCCTTTGTAGAAAGTACTAAAGGTTGAAAAGGCTGAGATAGACTACATTTTATTATTTTAGTATATATTAAAAATCTGAGAGATTTAAAATATAATTCAACCGATGCCTATTTCTAAAGTTTAAAATGGAATTATAACTTTAGAGCGAAAAGCTACTAGTTTCCATTAAATTTTACGTTTTAGATCAATTAAAGACACCATATTCCTTGTAAAAAGTCAAATAGTCAAACATATAGAAACAAACATAAATAATGAAAAACTGTAGACATGGACCTGTGGTAAAGTGCTTGTCACACAAGTGTGTGGCCCCAAGTTCCAATCCCCAGAGCCCATGTAAAAGCCACACACAGTAGTATCTTTCTACAATGCTACTGCTCTGAGGAGAGGGAGAAACAGGAGAATCCAAGACTCTCACAGTCTAGTCTTGTTAGCCTGCCTCCAGCAGGCAGCCAGCAACATAGAAGTGGGCCTCTCTCAAACAAGGTGGAAAGTAAAGACTGGTAACCCAAAGTGGTCCTCTGATCTCCATACATGTGTGCCATGGCATGGGCACACATGTACAAATGTGCGTGTGTGTGCATGCGCGTGTGCACACACACACACACACATACACACACACAGAAAATTAATGAGGAATTCCTCCCATAATTCTCCATAAACTTTGTTTTCATTCCCACCCTTCTCCACATAAATATGTATGCATGGGGGGAGCTATTAACAAATACAGGGTTAAATATGCAATGCTTTTTCTTGGATATTCTTAGACATATGCTTTCCATGTGAAGTTTAAAATCATCTTATTTGGCCAAGCTTGGGAGGATACACCTTTAACCCTAGCACTCTGGAAGCACAGCCAGGCAGATCTCTGTGAGTTCCAGGCCAGCTTGGTCTACATAGCAAGTTCTCGGCCAGCCAGGGCTGCACAGTGAGAACCCCTGTCCCATCCCCTCTCTCCAAAAGCCCCATAAAATTATCTCATTTCATTTCCTAAAATGGTATGTTAGATTTTTAATTAGAACTGAAGTAAACTCATAACCTGATTTTAGAAACACAATTTCTATTGAAAGCTGGTATGACATTAAATTCTAATGGATGTAATCATTTTCTTTATTTCCAGATATAGGGATATTAAGTTAAATTTATTTATATTTTATAAGATCTTTT